GAAAGTATGTGTGGGGGGCTGATGTGTATGTATATTGCATTAGACTCGCCTGGACAAGTATCCCTAATGTTTGGCAGCATCTTTCCGCGCATAGATCCGGATGTATTAGAAACCAGTGTCTTCCAAGTATACTCAATAAGATTAGTCCTTTCCAACGCGTACGTTCACGTGCAGTGCACATTCTCACTCCTGCAATTCCCCACAACCGTACGACAGCGTGCCGCAAGTACGTAGACCGGTTACACTATCCACGGCACTACCTACTTCACCCCAGCGAGATTGTACCGAACCTGTATCTCGGTGGAATGAGCGCAGCCGGCAACCTCGCGGAGCTCGAAGCGTTGGGTATACATGTGTGTGTTGTTACGAGGAAGTGTGTGTGTGTGTGTGTTTTGTTATGAGGAAACGTTGGGTGTGTGTGTGTGTGTGTGTCGTTATGAGTGCGTATCGGGGTATGTCAATCGTGCTGAAGAGTTGGGCCCAGTCACATGGGTGATGTATTGCTGTGCGAATCCATTGTTCACTATGTGTGAGACCTATAATCTTTCATCGGTTTTAGGGCTTTAGGGCTTTAGGGTTTTCTCGCACCACCAGAGATACGTACTACGACCCTACCAGTTGAAATCTCGACATGTCCCAACCGATCGTATGAGTTACAAATGACAATGGCTGCCTTACTGCCACTGATCTAGTTCATTCGATCGTATGTCAGTTCGTCCCTATCGTATACGCACGAAGTCTCATCCGACTCTATCTGACGCAAATGCGACATGTCTAAACCCACTCTATGTCAAATAATACGACAAGGTCGGATCCGGCTCTGATTAATACGACATTGTCTAAACCCTAAAACCCTAAAACCCTCGTATCCGGTTCTAATGTCTCTTCTGCTCACGTACAGGGGTCTCGCACATACTCAACGTGGCGAAGGAGTGTGACAACAGCTTTGGCGACCAATTTGTGTATCTGCATATCCCATTGGAAGATACCGAACTGCAGCCCATGGCCAGCGCGTTTGACCAGAGCATCACGTTCCTGAGTGCTGCTGAGAAGGAGAGTGCAGTCTCTCTGGGTATGTGTTAGGGTGTGTGTTTTGTGTTTATATGAGCACTTCCGTAGGGGTGTTCATATATTGTTAATATCAGTAAAAGTTCCGTACCTTTATTTCTATAAACTGCCTCTTGGGTGTGTCTTCGCTTGGTATAGTACAGCTACCAGTTGTCGGTTTCTTTGCCTCGTGCACACAACTGGCCAATCATATCTGTGTACGTGGGTTTTAGGGTCTAAACCCCTAAACCACTGAAATATTTGTATTGAGGTGTGGTGTGGGTGTACGTGTGACTGTTTCTACGGCCAATGCCACTGCTACAAGCACATCATGATCTTCTGATCACTCTAGCACTGTGTGACTGTTGTATATTGCCAGACATACATGCAGACATTCATGCAGACATACATACATACATACATACATACATACATACATACGTACATACATACATACATACATACATACATACATACATACATACATACATACATACATACAAAGCTCATACATACATACATACATACATACATACATAAATACATACATACATACATACATACATGCATACATATATACATATATTTATATATATACCTCATACATACACACATACATACATACATAAATACATACATACATACATACATAAATACATACATACATACATACATACATACATACATACCTCATACATACATACATACATACATACATACAAATATACATGCATACATTCATTCATACATTCACACATACATACATACATACATACATACATACATACATACATACATACATATATACATACATACATACATATATATATACATACAAACATACATACATACATCTGCCGGTGTGAACTCGCCCCACTTCCGACAAGTACATGTCTAGACATAGTCGATTCCTCGCACCTCACACCCGAAGTTTGGGACCCTGTCCCGCTTTCTCTCCACCGCATCCCGGTACACCAGTGCACTGTCAGATGGGCTCGTCGCGTAGTGCGGCTGTGGTCATTGCGTTGCTGATGGTGCGCAAGATGTGGACGCTGGGCCACGCCTACAGACACGTCAAGGCGAAACGGTCCATGATTCACCCGAACCCAGGCTTTGTCCAACAACTAGGTGGGTGACCCAGGGTTTAGGGTTTAGGGTCTGCAGGGTTACCTACCTTGTTAGTTGAGGGTTTCCAGATGTCTACTGTTTGGGGTTACTGTGTCGATCGGGCTGAATGCGCGGGATGTGGCATGGGTGTTTCCGTTCAGTATTTTTGTTTTATGTTTCTAGGACAGGTGAATTTTGTGTGCCAATGCATTTCGTCTCAATTGATCACGTTCAATATTATACTGACAAATGTAAACTCCTGTCAATGCATAGAGAGTGTGATAAATACATCGTACCGTAGCAGTACAATTGTGGATAGAAATAAACCAAGTTTATTCTCTCCTATTTTCGGGTTTTCAATGATGTGCTTATCGACCGCGCGGGGACTGGATTAACCAGTCTAGCACTGTTTTCAAGATCAAATGTACATCTTCAACATAACTGTGTACGAAACGTACCGAACTTCAACTGTATACGAAACGTACCGAACTTCAACTGTATACGAACCGTACCGTGAGTGGTAGCATTGCATCTACACACTTCGAACCGGCACTCGGGTCTGAACGGAGCTCGATGTATTATACGTACGCGTATATCTCTTCAGGACATTGACCTACTTTCTGGCCTAATATTTATCACACGTATACGTAATCTGTACAGAGCACTATAGCCAATGCACAACACCAGCACCTCTCCTGTGTGCCTGTGTAGTCGGGGCAACAGCCTGCGCATATGGGTAGTACGTCGATGCAGCCAACTTCATAGTCAATCAGCCATAGCATATCATTTGCGCACTTATATAGGGTGTATGGTAGTCGTATACCATAAGTACAGATATAGGGTGCATGGTAGTCCTATACTATCATATGTACCTATTTTGGGTGCATATTGGACCTCTATACCTGATCTCCTTTACACATTTCGATCATACATAGATACCCGGGATATATAGGACACCACTATACCCCGGCTGGTACATGATATGATGTTTCATATCATACATGTTACCAATGCCCGGCTACCATTGTAGCTCTACTATATTACGTATCCTATCGATTCCCATATACATACGTGCCCAGAATCAATCAGTGCGATTGTACATACATACATACACTGACTCAACTACTTCGATTGTATATACAAATATACTCAGGTAAGCTGGAGATGCGCTTGCACCACTGTGCTCAGCCCAGTTATCCGCCGAGATACGGCCACCTGTACCGTGTGCAGTCTGTACCCATACATGACACGCCCGAGCAGACTAACGGGGGCCTCGACGGTGAGTGGGTCTGATCATATATATATATATATATGTGTGTGTGTGTGTGTATGTAAGTATGTATGTATGTATGTATGTATTTATGTATGTTTATATATGTATATATTTATA